GATATGGGGAAAAACCGCATGGGAGGTTGAGGGAATGAATGCCAGAAGCGCTGCGTGGGCCCTGGCCCCGGCCGGGCCGTGGGCCGGTACCTCCCTCCTGGCTGACTCTGAATTTTCCAGGTGCAGGTGCTGGATCCCGGAGCCAGGCCCGTTGTAACCCGCCCCGTTGCACCCCAAAAGGACAGCGCTCAGCAGTAAGCACCAGCGGTACCTGTGGGCAGGATGGTGTTGCAGCAGTGGCATTTGGAAAACGTCTCTCCTGTTTCCTCTGTTCCCTCCCTGCCTGTGCCTGAACCTTCATTCTGTCCCTTGTTCCCAAATCCTCCCTTTCCCTTGGACTCCCTCCTGCTTTTTCGCTCTGGTTTGCAGTTCTCAAATCACTCTCCTCCGCCCCGTGAGCCCCCAGCGGGTCTTGGCCTTTCCCTTGCCCACTCCCCTACTCCCAGCAATCCCCCTCTCAGCTTTTGAGGCTTTTTTGGGGGAAAAAAAAAATCCGTCTGCCACCCGGGGCATCACCACCTTCCCTGGGAGGTGCCTGTTTCCATCAGGAGGGGACTTCCTGACAGCAAAATTAGCGCCTTCATTAGCACCATTAAGCCTTGCACACGTACGTGCTGCCAGGGCGCTCTGCGCTGGCGCTTACCTGGGCATCCATCACCTTTTCTCAGTGCCCTGGCACTAACCGCACTGTAATTGTGGCCGTCCCTGCCTCCATTTCCACACTCTTTGACAGCAGATTATATATTACCATGCCCACGTGGTTCCACATCAAACAATCCAGGACGGAGCAGCCGGGGTCACCGTGACGGCTGGTTACCTGTGGGACAGGGCATTCGCTGGGCAAGCTGGGACCAGATCGGTGCACCGAGACGGGGCCTCAACCCCGCACCTTCCCCTGTGCCTGAGCTCTTGTGCCTGGGCAAAGCGGGTTGTGGGACTGAGACCTGCAGAAGTAACCTGGCCCGAGCAGAGGCGGTCGCTGCAGAGCCCCAAACCCGATGCGGTTTGCGCCTTGTGGGGTGCGCTGTGCGTCACCCGATGCTGCAGGGACGGGCAGGTTCTTTTAAGGATCCTTTGTGGAATGAGAACTGGCCACAGGGTTGTAGTGGTAATTAGAGCTTTTATATAAAGGTTTTAGCAGTCAGCATAGCTTATTACACAGAGTTTCCTAGCAATTAGCATAGCTTTCCTCTTACTCCTATTTCCCTGCTCCCTGAGAGCTGGTCATCCTCCTCTTTGGGGACACCCAGGTCACCAAAGCCAGGCCAGTAAGAAGACCTGCACTGGCCACGGAGCTACTCGGCTCTCGAGGGGGACGTACTGCGACACTGGCCATCCAGGCTGCAGCCACATTTGTCCCTGCTGCTGTATTCCTTTCCCAAAGAGCTAATTGATCCACTGCATTAGTTAATTGATTTATAGCTATTAGACACTGTAATTAACCAACCGGCTGGAAAGCTGTGTGTTATCTTCCCGGTGGGAGCAAGGTTGAGAAGCAGCCAGCTCTGATGGGCCATGGGCTGCCCTGTCCCTGTGAACAGTGCCGCTCATTTGCTGTCTTTGAAGGATTTTACTCCACCTCAGACTTGGGGCTTTCCCTTTTATCTCCTCCTTTGCTAACGTTTGGCATCAGCAGGCTCAGCCCGAGCCTCCCTGTTCTCCCTTATCTCCCCCCCGCGTTCCTGCAAGGTCGCAAACTCGTCTTCCTGCTCTGTGTTGATGAAGGAGTTTGCATTGCTGGGCAGACCAGTTCGGACCAGCTTGTTATCAAAGTGTTCCCAGCCCTCAGCAAAACCTCCCACTGCTGTCAGACCCTGACACGATGCAGATGTTCCTTAAGCATTAGGAAGGTGATGCGTCTCATCGCGGGGCTGGGCGAGATGTCTGTACCTTGTACTGACACATGTGGCTGGTGCTAACAAACTCCTGGGAATGTCATTCCCTGGGGGAATGCATGGAAATAGGGAGGAGGAGACGCTGTAGGTGCCGGCAGTGGTGCCCAGTGCCTGGCTGTCCCAGGAGGGGATGTGTCGGACCGACAGCAGGCTTGGGAAACCCTCTGAGCCGCAGCGGGCTCTGTCCCTGGGGCTGCTGCGGGGTGGCGATGCTGTGTGCAGGGCTCAAACCCGGCTCTGGTGCTAGAGGGTGAACAGACACAGGTGGCTTCAGCGGCACGTCGGCCCCGAGCAGCTCTCGGCAAACCCAGTGGCAAAGGTTAGTGCGATGGCAGCGTCCCTTCCTGCTGGGCCCTGTCCTGCCAGGGCCACTGCGCTCTCTGGACCCTTGTCTCCCCAGTCCCCTTCCCCTCCTCCTCCCTGCAAGCTGTGCCACAGCTTTGGGGGGCCCCGCTCCCCCAGATCGCCTGGCACAAGGCTTGGGAGCATCCTGGGGACCATGTGGCTAAACCAGGTGATGCCGGAGCTGGATAGAGGCAGGGGCTGGGCATGCAGGCTCTGTGCCGTGGGAATGCAGGGTCCCCCCTTGCACGGATGCTCTGTGCCCTGGGGGGGCAGGGTCCCCCCTCGCACGGATGCTCTGTGCCCTGGGGGGGCAGGGTCCCCCCTCGCACGGATGCTCTGTGCCCTGGGGGGGCAGGGTCCCCCCTCGCACGGATGCTCTGTGCCCTGGGGGGGCAGGGTCCCCCCTCGCACGGATGCTCTGTGCCCTGGGGGGGCAGGGTCCCCCCTCGCACGGATGCTCTGTGCCCTGGGGGGGCAGGGTCCCCCCTCGCACGGATGCTCTGTGCCCTGGGGGGGCAGGGTCCCCCCTCGCACGGATGCTCTGTGCCCTGGGGGGGCAGGGTCCCCCCTCGCACGGATGCTCTGTGCCCTGGGGGGGCAGGGTCCCCCCTCGCACGGATGCTCTGTGCCCTGGGGGGGCAGGGTCCCCCCTCGCACGGATGCTCTGTGCCCTGGGGGGGCAGGGTCCCCCCTCGCACGGATGCTCTGTGCCCTGGGGGGGCAGGGTCCCCCCTCGCACGGATGCTCTGTGCCCTGTGTAATAAGCGTTTGAGGCCGATTATCAAGACCGAATTTATTCAAGCAAGCAATCAAGCAGGCAAAACAACGCTGGGCAGCCAGGGAGTCTCCTGCTCCACCAACGGCGCGCACCTCACCCCCACCAGAGTCCCTTCTTGTAGTTTAGTAGTCCCAGGTCTACGTGGCACATCCTGGTATCTTCCTGGTGGTCGTGAGGATAAAGGTCATAGTCTTCCTCCACGTTGTAGGTCAGTTGCTTTCCTTATCTGGCCATGTTGGACCAGCATGAGGCAGGAAGGATTCGTGCTTGTTTACTTAGCAGGATGTCGCCACTCAGGAATTGGTAATTTATCAATGTATCAGAAAGTGGTCCCATGAGTTTTGCACAACAGTGACTTTAAACAAAGGATGTAACAAAAAACACAAGGAGTAAGGGGGGGACCTTCCCCCCATCTGCCGGTTTGAGAACAAATTCCTTATGTATTTATTTATTACAGGATCCTCCCTTGCAGGGATGCTCTGTGCCCTGGGGGTGCAGGATCCTCCCTTGCACGGATGCTCTGTGCCCTGGGGGTGCAGGGTCCCCCCTTGCAGGGATGCTCTGTGCCCTGGGGGTGCAGGATCCTCCCTTGCATGGATGCTCTGTGCCCTGGGGGTGCAGGGTCCCCCCTTGCACGGATGCTCTGTGCCCTGGGGGTGCAGGGTCGGAGGAATGCATGGTGGGACGGAGCAGGAACAGGGGCTGCACCCAGAGGCTGATGCGGTGCAGAGTTTGCAGGTCTTGCATCAAACTCTGCTTTAAACCAGGTTTGCCGAGGGATCTTTGATAACCAGAGGAATCTGGCTGTCCCTGGTTATCAGAGGCTGGTTTGAGAAGAGGTGCTGCCCAGGGTCTGTGCACCCCTCGGGAAATGAGGGGGATCTGCTGGTATGTCTGTGCTTCTCCTGTTAGCCAGTGTTTATTCTCAGCAGAAATCGGTGTAAGGAAATGCTCTGCAAACAGGAGTAAAAGCTCCTGGAGGGTAATGCAGTTTGGCTTTCAAGGAATGGAAATCGAGTGCTCAGGAGGGCTCCAAGGCAGCTCCCTGGGGGGGAATTAGCACCTGGCTCTTATCAGCAACCACTTGCTATTGGTTTGCATTCAGCAAATGCTGGGGGTAGGGGGAGCTGGGCTGGGGTGCAAGGGTCTCCGTCCCACACTCCTTGGTGGGTGCTTCATCTCTCCGGGCAGGCGAGCTGCTTTCCAGGGCCACTCGGGACTGATCTGACAGGTAAAACCTCAGTTTGGGGACAAAAGTGTTATTTTCTTCCTTTTACTCTCCCTACTGCCCTAGCGTGGTCCCTGCTGACCTCTGAGCTGAGGAGTGGTGCCAGTGCTGCCATTAACTCCTGCCAGCCTGGGTCAAGGCTGCGAGTGTTAACTGGTGGCTCTGGGAGCCCAGTGCCCCTGCTGGGCTGGGTTCAGCCGGTTTCGGGTCAGAGCATCCCCTACTCGCTGGGACTGCATCCCCTGCGATAAACCCCGATCTCCAACCCACACAGCCGCTGTGGCCCAGCGGTGGGGAAGCCGCAAAGACTGTCCCCTGGGGAGCCTGGGAAGTGCCCCTTTGCATCTGCAGGGTTTGAGCCCCCCTCGCCCCTGCTGAGAGCCCAAACCATGCCAGGCTGCCCGTGGGAGCAGCAAGGGGCAGGGACACAGCCTGGAGTGGGGCGTGCACCCTGCTGCAGTGCCAGGCTGGCCAGGGGCACCCGGCAGGCAGCTTGTCCCTGCTCCAGCCTTGGGGACAGAGAGCAGCTCGGCCGGGATCCCGCAGGACAATAGCGGGGTGGTGCTGCTGGGTGCTGTGACCTGTGCGGTTTGCACGGGGCAATTGAAACGTGGCTGCGAGCAAGCGGAGGCTCGGACAGGCAAGGGAGAGCAGCTTCGGGCAGGGTGCGGGGGTACCCGGTCCCAAGGGAGCAGCCCCAGCACTGCCAGGAGCTGTGTCCCATCCCGGGGTGGGGAGTGGGGTCTGTGTGGCCCCCAGCTCACCCATCTCCTGCAGGTCCTCACTGGCGGCGATGCCATGTGGCTCTGGAGGTGACCCAGTGCTCGGGGCTCAGCAGAGCCGGGAGCGCTGCAGGTGGCATCTGGCCAGCAGCCATGACCAAGACGGCAGTGATGTCCTGTGGGACGTGCTCACCCTCGCCTCTCCCTTTGCAGCTGGGTGCTGACCTCCTGGGGGCCTTCTCCTCATTGGGACCGAGGCCAGGACAAACTTTTGGCAGAGATGTTCTCACCCTCGGGCTGCAGGAGGGGCTTCCCGGGCTCCCGCAGGGAGGTAGGTGGTTTTGCAACCCTCCCTCTGCCACGCAGCTGGAGCTGCCAGTGTGGTTGGGAGTGGGGGAGCTTTGCGGGGCGAGGATGGGTGCCCGCTGCTCCGTCACTCGGGATGCCGAGGAGCCAGGAGAGCATCACTGCGGTACGGGAAAGAATTGGGAATCATCTGGGACCTTGGCTGGGAGAGGAGGGCAGACGGGCTTCTGGCTCCCTGTCCCAGCTCAGCACCCAGCAGTACAAGGGCAAAGGTGAAGGTCTCATCCTGCTTTTATCTCCCTGTGCTCTTTCTGCAGCCCGGTCCGTGGCAGGCTGGACCACCACCACTCCACGCTCACGGCCCCCAGGATGTCTGGGATGAGCCGCCCTGGGAGCACCAGCACAGGAGAGGCAGGGGCAGATGGCACCCGGTAAGGGGGCAGGGGCTGGGGCGAGCAGCCGTGCAGTGAGGTGAGACTGAGCTGTTGGGGTTCACCTACAAATCCGGGCTGGCCAAAACTGGGGGCTCCTCTGGGAGCAGGAGAAGCTGAAAGAGCTGAGGGCTGTGGCACGGAGGGGGAACCACAGCAAAACCGAAACACCCCAGTGAGCTGCTGTCCTCACCGGTGGTGATTTGCTGTTGCAGCCCTGTCCCCAGGACCCCAGACCCTTCTCTGGCTCTGCCGAACTCCCTTGGAACGAGGAGGACAGGAGATGGGCACCCCAAGACTGTCCCCCGCCACCCCCCTGGGACAATGGAGAAGATGGCCGAGGACCTGAGGATTGCTTCAGAGAGGGCTGGCACCCGGTGAGGGAGAGGTGGGCGGAGGGGGTGGCAGCTATGTGGCTACCCCCAGCGCGCCACCATCCTCACCAGCGGTGATTTGCCATTGCAGCCCTGTCCCCAGGACCCCAGACCCTTCCCTGGCCCTGATGACTTTCCTTGGAACGAGGAGGATGGGAGATGGGCACCCCACAACTGTCCCCCGCCACCCCACTGGCATGATAGAGGAGAGAGAGGACCCGAGGGCTTCTCTGGAGGGGGTCTGCAGTTGCAGCATCCCCCGTCCTGCTCCATGTTTAAACCCAGCCACTTCCCCACAGGAGCCGCTGCCCGGCCCCAGCTGCTTTGCCTGGCCTGAATTCCCTGATGAGGATTGGCACCCTCCCCGGCCCCCCGCCAGCCTGCCAGGGTGGGTGCCCGTGCCAAGGGTGAGGGGTACGGGGGGACCGTGCAGCCGTGGGGTGGTGAGCAGGGGTGTGGGGGCCAGGATCTGCTCCGGTGCAGAGCCAAGAGGTGATGCAACATTGAAGCTGGCCTTACTGGGGTAGGGGGGGTTGCTCTTCCAGCCTAAATCCCCCACCCTGGGGCTCCCTTTGCTCCTGCAGGGAGCAAGGCGGCTTCCAGGATGGCTGCCCGTCCTGGGACTATCGTGGCCTGGGTGGGAAGCGCTACCGACGCCTTCGCCGCAGCCACCGAGAGTTAACCTTGGTCCAGCGTGTCCCACGTCCCTGGCCCACCAGAGGTTTGTGCCAGCCCTGTACTGAGGGGCCCCACATTTTGCTCACCAGCATCTCAGGCAGAGCGAGGAGTTGTTCCGGTTGTGTTTCTTGCTCTGCAGGGCATCCGCCATCCTCCAGGTCCTCCCCTTCCCTCTGCTGGCCAAAGATCAAAGAAGAGCCGCAGCACCCTGATCCTTCCCAGCCACTTCCTTCCTTCAAAGATGGTGCGCAGAGCAGGAAGCAGATGGCTCAGGTTGTGGGATTTTATCCCCCCCATCCCAGCACCCAGCAGTGACACAAGTTTGCACGGTCTGAGCCCCACGCGATGCCCCCATGCCACTAACCGTCATGGTTTCCCCCAGGACCCACCAGCGGTGAGCAGGAAGATCCCGGAGCCCCCCAGCCCAGCCAGCACCCCTCAGAGGAGCCCAGCCACTGATCCCCAGGTTGCAACAGAGGCTCCAGAGCCAGAGCAGGCAGCAGGAGCGACGCCGGTAGGAGAGCACCCCTCTCCTGGGGGCAGGCGGGGTGCTTGCACCCCTGGAGGTGCCTGGCTCAGGGGTCTCTTCGGTCAGCGTAACCTCTTCCTTCTGTCTCTCATCCAGCCCTTTTGCTCTTCGCCTCGCTGTCTCTTTGCCAGGCACGGACATTTTCCTGACTCTTGTCCAGGGCTGCAAAGCCTCGTGGTTTCCTTTGGGTTTTCCCTATCCATCCTGTCCCCCAGCTCTTCTCCCCGGGCCAGATGTGCCCCGGCCTCATGCCATTGCATGTCCTCAGGTCGAGCCAGGAGCCAGGCAGGAACCTGCAGGCAGCAACGGCCAGGGCCCTTCTGCTTCAGAAACAGAGCTAGCACTGCCAGAGCAGAGCTCTGCTGGGACCAGTGAGCACCTTGAGGTATGAGCTAAAGCATGTCCTCTTCCCACCTAAAAACAGTGCCCGGGGGGAGGTGGGAGCTTGCAGTCCCCATTGCAAACCTCTTTTCCCCTGCCTGGGTGGCATTGCCAGCCCTCACCATGGGCTCTGCAATGCATCTGTAACGCTTTGCACAGGTAGAGCCGTGCAGCCAAAGTGTCCCTAAAGCTGGTGCAGATGCCGGGTCACCTCCCCACGGTCCAACAGCCCCATCGGAGCCTGCTGAGAGGGTCCGCGTGGCAGCCAGCTCCGCTGGAGAGGTGGATGCTGAGCTCTGCCCGCGTTCCCAGGGACAGCAGCATCTGCCGAGTGGAGCCGGAGAAGCTGAGTCAGAAGCTGCCCATGATGGGGTGGGTCTCAGTATGTGGTGGGCAGCTCCGTGGCGTGTCCCCCTCTGGGGCAGAGCCCACCCAGGCCACTGCTGCAGGCAGGGGTGTGCTGGCAGCGCTGGCTCCCCCCGCTCCTGCATGGCTGCTGCCTTCCTTCCCCAGCCACTTTCTCTACCGCAGCTTCTTGGTGGCCATCAGCCATCCGAAAACTCGCAGGTCCCATCAGGAGCTACTGCAGAGCCCGACACACAGCCCAGCCAGGCTTGCTCTGATATCTGTGCCACGCCAGAGACCTCACTGAGGACCCAGCATCCTCCTGGGTCTGTCAAGACGGAGCCGGTACGGGGTCAGCTGCTCCCCTGCACTCACCCCAAGGTGTCCCTGGGGTGCTGGGGGATATGCCATAGCCCCGGAGCAGTGGAGTGGGATCCCTCTGGCCTCCCTGTTTGCAGGATTATGGGCTGGGGTTAAAGCGCTGCTTTGTCTGGAGGCAGAGCCCGTGTCAGCCCTGGTGCCGGCTGCGCCGGAGATGCCGATAAACGGGAGACAGCTGGGAAGAAGGCCAAAAAAATAACTAGAGGCTTGAGAGCGTGCTGGAGCGTGAACAACCCCGGGACTCGAGCTTTAACGAAGCAAACGAGAGCATTGCAGAGTGGCTTAATTAGAGCCTAATGGGGAAATCTGCTAGTGGGGCTTTCGGCGGCGATGCTGCCGGGGCTGGAATGGAAGGGGGGGTGAGGGGCAGCTCCCGCACCTGAGGCGGGGGGGCAAACCAGCACCCCAGGGAGCCAAGGTCCCAGCAGGTCCCCCTGCAGGGTGACCAGTTCCTGGCTGGCAGTCGGTGCCAGCAGCCCCAGTTTGGCCCCAGCCTTGCCCGGTCCATCTCCCCTTTGAAGCATCTGACCCCTCCTCACTTTTTCTACTGCCCAGGCTGCAGGCAGCCGGTGCCAGCTCTGCTCTGCGCTCCTGACATCATCCCCGGCCGGCGCAGACCTCCGCTCCGCCGCTGTCCTTGCTAGGAAGGAGGAGATCGAGTTGGTAAGTCCTGGTGAACCCCAGCTGAGGTGCATGGGGGTCTGGGACCAGCCATGGGGTGGGGGGGGCTCGCCCCAGGACCCTTTGAACCATGGGGCAGGAGCGATGCCAGGTGATGGGGGATGTGAATTTGGCATTTTTGGGGTCACTGGGGAGAAACCCCTCCTGGTGCTGGTGGTTGCAGAGGAAGGCGCTTATGGGTGAGAAGGGCTCTGCAGGGGCACAGAGGCTGTTGGGGAGTTCATGGACCAGCCCCAGGGAAAAAAATATCCCTGGAGGGCTGTACACAGCTGGTGGGAAGGTTTTGGGGTGCCCCATGCTGACACAGCGCCGCTGCCCTGCAGTCGTACCAGCAGTTCAGCCTGACCATCGCGGTGGTGGCCACGATGCTGCTGCAGAAGGAGCCCTCCATGGAGCCGGCGCTGGGGCTGGCGCTGAGGGCCAACCTCCGCCAGGGCCGGATCCATCACCTCCAGGAGCTGGAGGACTTCATCAACAGCTACGACTCAGCCACCCTCAGCCGCTGAGGGGTTCCCGGGGTGAGCAGCCAGACACCCCCTCTCGCCAGCTAGGGTTGCAGGGGGGTGATTGGGGGGAGCTATGTCAGTCCATTGGGGTGCTGGTGATGATGCTGAGCCCTTGGATCAAGGTGGTATGGACATGCTGGCGTAGTCCCACCATCTCTGTTGGAGATGGAGGAAGAGGGGGATGCTTACTTTTAGCCGTGCCCAGACCTGTATGTGCAGCAGAAGGGGGAGCTGGTTATGCTGGGGGGTGGTGGAAAGGAGAGTGGCTGCAGGGAGCCCCTCTCTGCCCCGGCTCCTTGCTCCTTTTCTGGTTCACAGGGATGTGCCCCCAAACCCCGGGGGTTGTTCTTGGTTTAAAAATCTAAAAATAAATCAACTGTGGTCTTTGCAGCCCTTACTCCGCTGTCATTCTGGTCCCACTCTCTTGGGACTGGTGAGGGAGGGGTCCCACAGTGAACCCACCATGGGGGGGACCCCTGGCTGTGGCAGAGGGCAGCAGCCACCCCGGAGGATCATGCTCCTTTGGTGGCATGGCCACAGTGTTGCAGTGACCCTGGGGTGGGGAGGAATGGGGCAGACGTGTGGTGGCTCTCCTGTCTTCAGATTTCAGCCAAACTTTATTGGAGCATCGTCAGCAGCAGAGCTGCCCCCCTGGTCCCCTCCCCATGGCAGCAGGGGCACAGGGTGTCACCAGGGATAGAGAGCATTGGCAGTGGTGCTCATCCTTCAAGGATGTGTCCCAGGGAAGGATCCAACCCTGGTGGCCAGCACCCCTCCTGTCCCCAAGGGTCCCCAGCAGCAGGGCGATGCAGGCAGCTGCCCTTGTCTTAAGCACTCAGCCGCCCTCCCCTGCGCTCTCCGGGGCTGCCACCTTGTCGGAGAGATGGGAGCCCTGGTGTGGGCCGCCGGCTCTCTGCTCCCTACCTGCTTTACCTGTTCCTAATTGCGGGAGAGGCCGGCAGGAATGGCAGGCTGTGCTTTCCCAGCAGCTGCCGGAGGGGAAGGATCCCAGCAGCTTCTCCCCAGCAGCCTTGGGCTGCATCCAAAACGCACTTGGAACGTGTTGAGACTATGGCAGGGGCTGGCAGGACGGCAGTGCCAGTCGAGGACCCCCCCAGTCCCCGCTGCTAGGACACGCTGCAGTGCTTGCTGCTGCCCCGCAGCTTTGCCGTCCTGCCCCCAGCCTTCCCCAGGGGCTCCCTGCCCAGGGAACTCATCCCGGGCTTGGGGATGGGCTTCCCAAAGAAGAAACCCTCTTCCTCCGAGTCCGAAGATGAAGAGCAGGTGGGACACCAGGAGTCATCCTCCTCTGTGATGTCCTGCAGGTCAATGTCCTCCAGCTGTGTGCTGTGTCGGGCAGGGGATGTGCCTGCTCGGAAGTGTGGGTTTCTATTGCCTGTGGGTGTTCGGGGGTCAGGGTCCCCCAAAACCGGGTGGCTGGGGGCTCCAGGCTCATTGGGACCCTCTGCACTGGGCTGGGGGCTGGAGGGGTGTCCGGCTGGTGGTCCCAGCATCCCTGTGTGTACAGCATCCCTGCTCCGCTCCTTAGCAGCTTCTCCGTGGTCCTCCAGGCTCCTGAACGCTGGATGCACGGAGGCCTGATCCAGAAACGCCTCTGGAAGAAGGAAAGCAAAGACGGGTGAGGAAGGGGAAGGCTGAGCCTGCCTTGCCCACAGCCCCTCGTGCAGTGAGGGCTGCCTCAGGATGCAACGGAGGGTCGTACCAAACCCCCGCTGCCAGCACTCGCCCTCCTGCGGGACGTGGGCTGGGGGCTCGTCACTGCTGCTCCAGCCCTGGGTTGGGCTGCACCCATGCGACGTACCCCCCCTAAAGCACCCAGGGGCTGAGCAGAGCCTGGTTTGGCTCCCGCTCCCCTCCCGCCATGTAGCACACGGAGCAGTAGGATCCCTACTTGCTCCTTCCACCCGCTGCCTGCAGCCCCCGGCTGCCGAGGTGCTGCCCGTCCCCGGCACGGTCTTGCCAGCGGGGCCAGCTCGGGAGAGGGGCGTTGAGTCAGGGGACGGGGCCGAGGCGAAAGCCGAGTCGGAGGAGTCAGAGGCGGTGGAGGATGCGTCCCATCCCAGGCTGCAAGTCTCGGAGCAGAAGAGCCGGCCGTGGCGGGGGGGGGGGGGGGGCCCCCCCTCCACTGAGCCCGGTCCAAGGTCAACAAAAACCCTCACCAGATCACCAGATGAAAACGTACAATGTCGGGATGGGGTCCCCGCAGGCCTGGCAGGGCTCGGCGAAGAGGCTCTCGAAGCAGCCGCAGCAGCAGGGCCGGCCGCTCTTCATCACGTAGCGCTGCCCGCGCAGGGGCACGTCGCACTCCAGGCAGCAGAAGTGCTCCAGGTGCCAGCGCCGGCCCTCTGCCTCGATGCACTCCTCCATGAAGATCAGCTGGAGGGGGGAAAACGACCCATCCTTTTAAACACCCAGCTAGAAAAACGGTAGCCTGGAGGATGCTTTGCTGTGCCAAGGAGAGGAGGAGGAGCCCCCGTGCCTTGGCATGGGCATGGGGCTCTCTGCAAGGCTCAGGAAGGAACCTTTCCTCCTGCCCATCAGCGGCTCTTGCTGCATTTGCAGCCCCCAGCCAAGCACAGGAGCTTTTAGCAACAGCAAAAGGGGGGTCAAAGCCTCTCCCCTGCCTGGCACCCACCTGGTCGCAGGAGGCACAGCGGGGGCGGAAGAGCTCAGCATGGTGCCGGCCGCAGTAGATCCTCCCGTCCTGCTGGAAGTAGATGAGGTCCACCAGGGGCTGGTGGCAGAAGTGGCAGGAGAAGCAGGACGGGTGCCAGAACTGGTCCCCCAGCCGAGATGCCGAAATCCCTGGGTCCCCTTTGTTCAGCCTCCTGCCACACTGCAAGGCAGAGGGACACGTGGTTTGGGGTCAGGCTGGCTTTCGGGGATGGGTCCCCAGGGGGAATGGGTGCTGCCTGGTGCCAGGGGAGGGGATGCCTCACCTTCTTGCAGGGACAGCCATGGCAGGGACCTGGCACGGGACATGCCAGCCCCTGCCCCAGGGCCTCCCGTCTCCGTCGGGCGCTGAATGCTCGTAGCTGCCTCCTCTCCTCCTCCGCGAGGTCGGGGCAGTACCGCTCCTGCATGGGGAGGTGGAGGTGAGGGATGGACCATGGGTGAAGCCCAGGGTCGGCAGCACCCAACAAATGCACATCTTACATCGCAGTCCTGAGGAGGCAGCTGCTGCAGGAGGGCCCTGGCGCGGAGCCGGATCCTGTCGGTGGGAGAGGCAGGCTGCGGCGAGCGGGTGCCGAAGCACACCGGGACCTTGGGATGTCACGCAGGAGAGAGAAACACAAGCAGATTTTTAGGGGGATTAAGCTGCGTTGCTCGAGGTTGCTAAAATGTGTGTTTCATCCCAGGGCTGGGGGTGCTGGGCTGCGGGTACCACCCGTGGATGGCACCCGCAGAGCTGGGGGAGAGCGGGGAGCAAAGGGAGCCCCTCGAGAGAGACCCTCGGTGAGGCAGGGAGCAGGGGTCCATCCCCAGGACACGTGGGGACCTTCTCCACGTGGCAGCAGGACGAGCAGCCCCTCATCCCGGGGAGGGACCCCGAGGCAGGTCCAGACGGGATGATGCTCAGCACTACCATGACCTCGACCTTGGCTGAACCCCTGCAGAAGTCCAGGGGCTTTTGGGGGGCTGCTCCTTTCTCTGCGGGGGTTATAAGCAAACCCACATTGAGGGCACGGGTGCTCGGCAGGGCTGGGGCTTTGTCTGCCAAGCAGGGGGCACGGACAGGATGGTGATGGGTTGAAGCCGGGCAGGGAAGACCCCAGGTGTTGGGGCTCAAGCTGAAACAGATTTTGGGAAATGTCACCGGCCACTCGCTCACCCACAGTGGGAGATTTTCCTCGGCTGCTACCAGTCCTTTGCTGGCACGGCTAATCCCGGGTCTAGTGGCCTGTCCCTGAGCAGGGCAGTGGGAGGAGACCGAGGTCTAGCTCAATTCAGTGGAAAATAATTTATTCCCCTCGGGCTGCTATTGTTCTCCCCTGAGCGGCTGGTCCTGCCCCGGCAGCCGGCTCCCCCAGCCAGCACCACCTCGCCTGGCTAATGGTTACGCAGTGGAAACCCGTCCAGTCCTGTCCCTCCTCCCCATGTGGCGCTTTTCACCGTTCACTTCCTTCCTGGCTTGGCTTTCCAAAACAAAGGCGAGATGGCCATGCGGTGGCTCCTGGGGCTCCCTGGACACCGGCCCAAAGCCCGACGCCCTCTGCCCACGCTTCCTGCCCTGGGCTGGGGAGTGAGGGTGGGATGCGGGTGGGATGGAGCTGAGCCACTGCTCTGGGTGCTGCAACCAAACAACCCCAGGACACCCCTGGACTCACCCCGTGCAGAGCCCACCATGGACCGATCAACTGCTGTGGAAAGTGTTTTATACAGCAAGCGGCTTGGCACGGGCTCAGGCTGAGGGGTGAGGGGTGGTGACCCCCAGGCCACGCACCTAGGTCCTGCCACGAGGACCAGTTCATTCCCATGCTGGGATGGTACTTCTGCACATCTGGTTTAGCCCCCACTTGCCCATCCTGGCCAGTACCAGCAGCCGCATCCCCACTGCTCCCACGAAACAGCTTCCACACCCCCAGCGCAGCCCCTGCTCCCAGTGTGCTCCCTCCACCACAGCTGCCCCTTCCTATGCAGCATCTTGGGGTGCCGGGGTCTTGCACCCAAAACATGGCCAGCTCTGGAGCTGGGGGCAGGTGGGATCAGCCCAGGCAGCTCAGGTTTCCCTGCCATGCACCTGGGTGAATGATTAATGCTACAGATTGGCTAATCAGCCGGAGAAAACAAAAGGGCTGCTTGCTCCTTGCTGGGGCTTGGGGTCTGCCAGCCCTGGGGTCAGTCCAGAAAGGTGGCAGGGCTGGTTGTGTGGCGCTTTTAAAGCTGTGCTCAGCTCTAGGACCTGCACAGGGATGAAATCATCCGACCCAACTCTGTGTATCTGCAGCCCAAAGAGAGCCCTTGCCTTGCTGGCTGGGTGAAGGACCACCATACCCCCACCAGTGCTGGGCCAGTAGCCAGCCTTGGCTCTACAGCTGTGCAGGAGGATTGCACGTGTCCCTGGAGATGCTGAATGGGGACCTTCGTGGGCTCAGTGACCAGTCCCAGCTCTACTTCTGCCTTGTTTGGGTAACACACGTCTCTGCTTTGCCCTCTTCGTGGGAGGTGGATGGCAGTCCTGGGCTGTGCTTGGCTTATTAAACCTCCAAGCTGCATTTGTCTAATCTACTGGGGCTTTGCTGTAATTAGACCCCTTGGATGCTCTGCAGACTCAGCAGAGCTGATGGTGCCTTCGTGGCCACAGCCACG